CCTTGGGGCAGCCCCTGAGATACTGGAAGGCTGCTATCTTGTCCCCCCTCGTCCTTCTCTTCATTAAACTAGACATCCCCAATTCCAGCAGCCTTTCCTTGTTTTAGCCTCCAGTCCCGATCATCTTTGTTGCTCTTCTCTGCACTCTTTCCAGAGTCTCAGCATTTTTTTTACATCGTGGTGACCAAGTTGGCCGTGGCAAATTGTCATAGGACTCTCTCCCCCCTTTGTGCAGAACCAAAAGGCGCCTTCAGAAAGGGACCTTTCCTGCAGAAGGGTTTTTGCTCCACCCAAAGCCCAGAAGAAACAGCCTGGGCTGGCCACTTAACCCAGCTCAGAATCTGCTGAGGCTTGAATGAAGATGATGGAGAGATCACCCCCCCCCCCCGCCAACAGCCACAGGAGGCTCCCATTTCTATACTTGGCAACCCAACATGGGATTGATCTTCTCCAGGGCTTCCTAACAGGCACTGGCTGGTTTGTAAACATGCCCTAATTAACCAAGCCATTAACCAGGGCTCAACCCCCAAGTTGAGGTTTCTAGGGTTGTGTGATCCAGTGAACATGTAAGCCAGTGATGGTGAACCTTTTAGAGACCGAGTGCCCAAACATTAACCCAAAACCCACTTAGGTATCGCCGGGTGCCGGGTGGGTGTGGCTACAGTGGTCATGGCAGATGGGTGGGCGTGGCCAACTCGATGTTGCTCCTGGGGAGGGACACCTGTGGGGGCCGAGCAGGGTTGGGGGGAGATCCAGGGGGTCTCTGGTGGGTGGGGCGATGGACAGGAGGCTGGTCCTGCAGGGTGAGGCGAGGCAAGGCGAGGCAGGGCGGGAGTGCCATTGTCGCAGGGCGAGGCAGGGGCCTGGCACCATCGGCCCCCGCACACAGAGGCCAGCAAGCACATGGGTGCTGGGATGCATCCGGCCACATGAGACCTCGGCGAGTTAGCGGGCGGCTGGTTGAAGAGGACGGTTGCCATCTCCGGGGCATGGCGCGGGTGCCCACAGAGAGGGCTCTGAGTGCCGCCTCTGGCACGCGTGCCATAGGTTCGCCACCACTGGTGTAAGCAATCCACTTCAGCATGCACAGCAATGCTGTGATTCAGATAGCACGCTTGGCCCTAAGCCCGGGTTAATAAAAACTTGCACCCAGTTCCATTTGAACTCCTCCACAGAAGTTTTTAAAGCTTTTGCAGTTATGCAGCCTGTTCAAAGAAATCCCAGCAGCCCTGATCAAGAGGCCCAAATTCTAGAAACAGGAAACTGTGTTTGAACAAGCTTGTTTTTGCTTTCTTTCAGAGAACCCCGGTATTCAGGTCTGGAGCAGCATTTCTGAACTTCAACCATTTCATACTGTGTTGACTTCAACTCCCAGAATTCCCGAGTGCTGGCTGGGGAGTTCTGGGAGTCAGTGCATATTCCTTAAAAGTAGCTGAAGCTGAAAGACCCTGGAGTCCCAAAGGTGCTTTTCCCAAAAGGCAACTGGGCTTTCTTGGTTTTTTTTCTTTGAAAATGTTTTGTTTCTCATCCAAGAAACTTCTTCAGTTCTAAGTTACAACCGAGGAAACCTTTTAAATGAGAAGCAAAATGTTTTGAAAGAAAAAAAAAACCAAGGAAGTCCAACTGCTTTTGGGAAAAAGCATGACCTAGATGTTTGAGCATTTCCACAGACTTGCTCTAAAGCAGTGTTTCTCAACCTTGACAATTTTAAGGCATGTGGACTTCAACTCCCAGAATTCCACAGCCAGCAATGCTGGCTGTGGAATTCTGGGAGTTGAAGTCCACATGCCTTAAAATTGTCAAGGTTGAGAAACACTGCTCTAAAGCGTTGTGCAGATCCAGTTTAGATGGGCAGTTCCACCTCCTTGAATTCTTGGTGTGCGCTCAGCTGCTATTAGAACATAGAAAAAGAGTTGGGAGGAACTTGGAGGTCTTCTAGTCTGACCCCTGCTCAAACAGGAGACCCTAGACCATTCCAGGCAAGTGGCTGTCCACTCTCTTCTTAAAAACCTCCAGTGGTGGAGCACCCACAACTTCTGGAAGGAAGTCCTTCAAATGATGAATTGTCCTGACTTGGGAAATTTCTCTTCAATTCCAGGTTGCTTCCCTCCTTGATTAGTTTCCATCCGTTCCTTTCTGTCCTGCCTTCAGGCGCTTTGGAGAATAGCTTGACTCCCTCTTCTTTGGGGCAGCCCCTGAGATACTGAAATACTGCTATCATGTCCCCCCACGTCCTTCTTTTCTCTAGACTGGCCATTTCCAATTCCTGCAGCCATTCTTCATGTTTTAGTCTCCAGGCCTTTAATCATCTTTGTTGCTCTTCTTTGCACTTTTTGCAAAGTCTCAGCATCTTTTTTGTGATGTGGTGGCCAAAATTGGATGCAGGATCCCAGGTGGGTCCTTACTAAGGCTTTATAAGGCGGTACTACACACTTCCTCTGATCTTGATTCCTTCCCTCCGTCGACGCAGCTCAGGATCCGTATTTGCCGCAACGATTTCACTGCCAGGCTCGGGAGCGTCACCGGCTCCTGTCCCCTCGCAGTCCTTCCTCGCCTCCCCTCCGCCACAGGCGCTGCTGCCTCCCGCCCGAGAGGGGCCCGGGGAAAGCGGGCTTCGACCTGCGGAAATCGGGGCGAGCGAAGCCCGCGGAGCGGCACCGGTGGCCGCTGCGCCGGGATCGACGGCCGGGAGGCCTGACAGGCCCCGACAAGATGGCGTCGCCCGCCCGGCCGCGCGCGCTTCTTCTCCGCCGCCCTCGCTCTGCCCATGCGCGGGCCGATCGGCGGGGACGCCGAACTGCGCCTGCGCGCCTCGCGGGGCGACGCGTGCGCACGGCGCGTCGCAGGGCGTGTCCGGCGCCTGCGCGCGGGTGGCCGCGGGTCCCGAATACAAGATGGCGGCGGCGGCTGCCAGGGTGAGGCAGCGGCGCGATGGCGGCGGGAAGCTGAGCGACCCCCAGCGACCCCAGGCCCCGGCCGCAGGTGAGGGGCGGCACGGCGAGCCCGGAGGCCTTCCCTGGCGAGCAGGGGGCGCGGCGCCGGTGGGGCAGAAAGCTCCCGCGCTGACGAGCCGCGGGCGGGCGGGCAGGAGAGGAGGCGCCGCCTCTCCCGCCGCCATGTTGGGCGCGCCCCCGCCTGCCCCC